GCTGATGTACATGTAACCGAAAGTACAGTTAAACTGATCAGCACAAGAGGCAGTGACATCAGAATGAGCCGTGTTTGGATTGGTACAGCATTCTTTTGGTTCGTTGGAGCGACACTAGCTCATCTGCATAATTGCAACTCTTAGTGGCTTGATGTAAGCGATGGCAGAACCGTTATCATTTTGTTCCCCTTTATAAAGCATTTCGATGTATAATTTATTCTTTGAGACTTTAGCCCCTTCTTCTTGCGGCATGATTTTCTCTCCATACCTGGAAATAAACATGTTTGGGTAGCCATTTTCACGTAGGATGGACACGACACCGAGTAGTTCTTCCTCAGTCATTTCTTCTGAACGGACACTTCCGGTCCTCATAAAATAGGCACAAATCAAAGAGCGCTTGTAGTTCATGGGGCAGGAGCCATTTAACTTTAGATATTGCCCCGTCCAGCTCGGTTTGTGGTAAATCGACCTTACGAGCGAGTTATCGGAGCTTCTCCTCAAGGATACATCTAAGAAGTGGAACTTTCATGATGTTTCACTTTCCACTGTGAATTTGATCTCAGGAGTACATCCAATAAACAATTCGAACATGCGTTCTGCTTGTTGGGCGTCGTCCACCATAACGAAGGTGTCATCAGTGTATCAGGCGTACAAGTGTGCTTCCTGTATTTACGGGTGCAATTTGGTGTTCTCTAGATGGGCTTCAGAGATGTCAGCCAGAATGGGGCCAAGTGGACTTCCCATCGCCACACCCTCAATTTACCGATAGTGATTTCCATTGTAACAAAATTGAACATCTTTTATACAAATACACAACAAGTTCTTTGGTCAGTGTGATGGCGTGCCTCGTGCAACACCGAGAATATAAATTTATTTAATATACGCTTAACTGGCTATGATGTTCAGCGTCTCTTCCAGAGGAACATTCGTAAACACTCGGATTTCGAAACACATCTCGCGATATTTAGCTCCCAGTTGTGCAACATTACCTGATGGCTCTGTTGCCCGGCACTTACTCGACTGCCCGATATGCCAAAATCCCCCGTGAGGCATTTAAGATGATCAACAAACAGAAATATCCCATATTGCTGCGTTTTGCTGAAGCTTCTGCCATCCGGTGTTTGAAGCCTTACCCATGCAAACAGCATGAGTTTGTGACCAGCCTTGCTTCGCTTTCGTAGGGTGCTCCTGCCTTACTAGCACAACTAAGCACTGATTTCTGATATTGACCTTTCATTCCTAACCGTTTAAAGTGTTTACTCGTTGTATGTAAGCGGCTGATGAGAACACATGAAATACACTGTATTTCGATCATTCCGCTGAATTATTCGTTGTTCTTGCTGTTGAAATTTTGGAAGGGAAGTGTCTGTATGGTACGCGCAAGTCAATTTGTTACACAGCGTTAGCCGGTATATTTATACAGAGCTTATGAGGAGCTGGTTCGGGATTGCTTTTCAGACATTCAACATACCATGTCAGTTCGTGTGCGATTATCGCTTTTGATAAGGCAGGGTGGAGAGTAATAGATCTGTTATTCTCAGGATTCGATCGCTTGTCTGTTTCTTACATCGGAGTGGTTATTGCATTTATCACTCAGATGGGAATGTATAGGGTTCACGGCCGCTAGAAATACAGCTAAGTTGCGAGCGATAGTTTTGAGAATCTTTAGATAAATCTTGTCGAGTGCGGGAGCACTGTTTTCTCTGAGTGCCTGTAGTTTGCTTACGATAGCTTCTGGAGTATAGGTGACGCTTGCTAAACTAATGAAAGTTGCTGTGGAGAGATAGTGAGTGGTATCTGATGTGTTTGTAGCCACGGAACCAAACTTAGAAGCAAGGTATTCGCAGTATCCACAGCGGTAGTGCTTAGACCACTGTCCGCCTTGAGTGGTGGTATTCCTATCTTAATCATTTTCGTATTCTTCATATACTTGTGAAGCATTTTATATTACTTGTATATATGAGTACCGCAGTTGGGCTAAACCAACTTACACTTAAACTAGGTATTTTTAATGCGGATAAAATTCATTACATTTTATTTTATTTTTGTTTTGCCTATTTGATAATCTTCTCCCAACTTACACATGTCGCTCATGCAGATTGTGGTAAACTTGCGTAATTTTATCGCGTGGTATTTTTTAAATGACTTTCGGACATTTTGTACTTATCGCGTATTCAAATTTAACCAATTTCTTCCATATGCTCATTTAGCGGGCATTTATGTCGTCATATGCTTTTACTTTATTCCATGTCGGCATTTCGAATGATTGGCTGTTATTTGACATCCCAGGTATGGCTGAGCTTGATGTGCATGTTGACAAGGTGCCTACCTGTCTATTACCCACTACCTCGTCCATACTGGCTCCAGGAGACAGTTGGTCGTTGCTGGAGGGGACGGGGTGCACGGTCCTTGTGGTCGTGCTAGGCTCGAAGAGTGGTTCCATGCACTCAGTGTGGAGCGGACTACGGTCCAGCCACCGCCTTGTGTGCGGTAGATTCCCCAAATACAGCGTGCTTGTGTTTGCCTGTGAAGGAGTGTGGGCTGGCTCCGTTGATGAAACGTGGTTCCCATCCGCATGCCTCCCGGTCTTATTCCTTCGGGTTTACACTGGATATGGGGTATGCGGTTGGAGCTGTGGGTGGTGCAGCGCAAGCCACCCATGGTCCCCTCTGTAGGCGCAGGCGTCCTGTGGCTTGCCACAGTGACAGGCAAATCCGAAACCGGATGCCGCCAACCATATGTGAGTACACTAGCCTCCTGCTATTTGTACTCGCCGGCTTTGAGTAATGGCGTGCAGTAGTTACGCATTGTTTTGCACTTCTCCCATATGCTATAACATAGGTGTTTTACCTAGTGCCTAAGCATCTCATTTATTCTGTTGATCCATTTATGGATCTCTTTCCTGGTGATTTGTACTAGTTTTGCCGTACCCAACTCTCTATGTTTCTACTCAAGGGGGTCTAGCCTCATTCAGGTTCATCCTGCCCCTCCCAAAATCTAAATCAATATCAGGCAAAACCAATAGACATGGCTTGAAATCAGTATGGTGCAGTAGCTCTTTCATCCATATATCTTCCTCAGGCATATAATCTGCTGCATGGTCCTAATAAGGCTTCCGAAGTCGACTGCACATAAAAACTGCCAAAGCCGTTGTTTTGGACATAAGCGCGCGATAGAACCAATGAATTTCTTACACTCCCTGGCTTATATGAACCTACAGTGTCGTGTCGTTTTTCCGCAGACATCTACTACTCTCATGTAGCCCAAAAAATGAGATGAAGGTGATGCGTGGTGGTGATTGATAGCAAAGGGCCCAGTACCGTATTTTCGTTGTTACTTGTTGCGCATCAGTCAAAGCAACCTTTTGCGGTCGCTTTTTTACCGCAGCGGCACTACGACCCTGGATCTACTCTTAAACATTTTAGTTCTCTGTGAACGTTTACCTGTACGGATCCAACAATGTATTCCTCTTCTAAACAGTGGCTCTTTCTTTTTGGGAAGCGGCGCATCTTGCTTCTCATTTGGCTAAATCGGATAGCTGTGACGCTTCTGTTGACCAAGTCCCCTCGAGGTGGCAAATCTCACGCTGGAAAAGCAGATATGGGGAGGAACTTACTGTTGTACTTTCCATTGACTCTTCTCTGGACACACCAGCATCAGGTGGGCTGCAGTTCCTACCGGAGCCGTAAGCTCCAAAATAGCTTGAGTTTATTCGAAGTTTCGTAGCTACATGCATGACTCAGGTAGCAAGGTCATCCCTAAGTACTCACCCAACCCACGGATTCAAATCAGCACCTGCGTTAGGCGCAAAAACGCATTCGCACTAAATGGCCATCACAAGGAGGCGCCCAAACCATGTAGCTATCGTCAATTACCTGAGCCAATTTCTCAAAAGCCGGGGTTATTCCAAGCTGTCAAAGTTCTTTACCACTCACGCGGTTGCCAAACTAAATATGAGCAAGACGCCGCGGTCAGTAATGATCAGAAGCACTGTTCCTTACGGTTTTTACTGGGATCCAGTCTAGCAGAAACGTTTCCGCACATCTACTGCAAGCGACTCTGACATCGTAACTACTACAGTTCAATAACAGCATCACCAGCGGCACAAAGTTTGTAAGCGCAATCGTTTAATCCGAGGCTGTTAAACGCAGATGAATTATGACGCTTGTCTTGTACTTTTGTTGCGAAAGCACGGCACAAATAAACTGAGAGAGTTCAGGGTCATAACGAGCATGTCTTCCGGCCAGTCTGATGCAGTGTGTGAACATCGGATGATACGTTCTTCGCCGACATTCAACCGTTTGCTGCTTCTATCTTAGCTGTTCTGCTCAAGTCTCGCTCACTTCCTCATTCGGTGACATTTCTGATAGCGAGTACCTTGTTACCTGATTTTATTGTTTGCCGAAATAAGCGGTCGATATATGGAGGGTTAATTGCATGATCCATCTGGATTTGTGAGCAATTTTTGATACCTATGACATGCTTTAACCTCGTCTTTATTACTTGCGACTCAGCCTGTGCAATCATCTAAAAATGCCAAATTCCCTTTGATTTTACCTGTTACTTACTCGGCTCTCGCACTACTGCACCGTGGTTAAGTTTTCTTGCAAGCCGCATGTGCCTTCGTTGCCGGACAGTGACTGAGGGGTACTGCTATTCACTGATTGCGGATTCGGGCCTGCGACTTTGCAGAAGACCGCAGTATTTCCCTGTCTCCACGTGGCTGCTGGTGGTCTCTGGGCTGTAAAGCGTCTGCGCGAGGTGTCAGCCTACTGCTGCTGTTTTATCTGCTACAGTTGTTAGCTGTGCAGATTTCTCTTACATTGTGCCCCAAACACGCCTGCTGATTCGCCACCTTGGAATTGCGCATTTGGTCTATACCGACGTTCTCTCCTGTAGTTTGCACGACTAAAACAGTAGACCTGCTCGGTGGTTACTTCGGAAACAATAATTCTGCCTACACTACTACTGTTTCCATTGTTTCGGTCTTCTTTTTGCAGAACAGTAATGGGGAGCAAATCTGGCTTTGTCCGGTTTGCCTCTTGGAAGACGATGGCAATCTGATGATTGGCTGTGACAGCTGCGATGACTGGTACCACAGGTGGGTCTTTCAGTCACTGCTGTTTTCGAGTTTACAATTTTCCTTGCAATACGCTCGCGTGTATCAGTTAGCTCCCTCTGGTTTGGCTAATTAACTCAACGGATCTTTTTTATTTTCTGTTTGATGCCACGAAGTTGCACTACTGTGATAGTTCTCGGCGATGTTATTCGTGCAGCCTGCATCACGTCCACATGCTGCATATATTATTGAGATTGGATGCCTAGCCCTGTGGCCCATGTTGATCTTGTTATTCTCGACAGGTGCAGTAGAACTACTTTCGTCACTTCAATGTCATTTGTTTGTAATAGTCTGCTCCCATAAGAACTCGACACTCAGGTTGCCCACAACGATTACGATGTTCGTATTTTTGGCCATTCCAGCTGGGAGAGAGACCTGCTCGTCCTAATCTTCACATTCATTTTCCTGACTCTGGAATGAAGCTACGCGCATGCGATCGTGCACTGGTATATAGTCGACGAAAGCACAATGCACACTGGGACACCTCATATGCAATGAATCATTGGGTCAACAGCATTGTTGATGTCAAACGGTTTACCTCCGTCATTGCTCGCGCCTGCATTAGGAAGAGGTTGGAGCATGTCTCCGACCCCTCGAGGCCTTTGAGCTCACGCAGGGCTGCTCCTACCAGATTCGCTATGGTAGGGGTCAATCAAATCCAATATCATTGCCTTTCAGGTGGGGGTAAAATTGTGATGGCACTCGGATCATTGGCACAGCTCCGTTCCCTTACTAGTAGACTTTTGGGATCCACACCGTTACCTATGTTTGACCATCCAGACACTGCCCCGCGTTCAACTTTTATTGACTGTTGCTTCGTGTTAACAGGGTCTTTCTATCTGTTGCATATCTATGCGGTTCTCTGCTGTGTATAATGGTGCATAGTAAGAACTAACTTCGACCCTCGTTCAAATGAATTATTTGGCTAGCCTCTTGCTGTCCCGTGACCTGAAGATAACGAGCCTGTCTTGCAATCTGACGGCGTGGGTTCGAGCCTGCGTAGGGACAGGGCGACCCTCGCAGTCACCTTAGCCCACGTGTGCGGCAGCGAAGCGTCGGTACTGTGTATCCGCGTACTGCTGATCCCTTTTTTACCTTGCCAGGACTGATAAGCCAAATTAGGCTACAACTAATGACTCCTCGTTGATCTATCACCCACTTATTTTCTGCCCTTCTGATTGCCATTACTGATCTGTCTCCTATATTTTTAAAGCGTAACTGATGTTTGCTGCGCTTCCAATGAGGGCTTAGTCTTCATCTAGTTCAACGTGGCTTCCAACAATCCGATACTAAATCGCTTGTCTAGATACCCGGCACGGTTTCATTGACTGTTGCCAAGTATCGTATCCAAGGCAATTTGGTTTTATGGGTTGCACTCGTACGCACCGTTGTTTTACGCTACCTCTTCGAAACGGGTTCACTATATTGCCAATTGGCTATCGAAGTTACTTGGCTCAGCTTAGCATCCCAGCAGTAGCTGCACACAGTTTGAGATGCTAGTGCAGCAGTCGTAGGTCAGACGAGTGTGGACATCGATTTCACTTTCCGAGCTGCATCCTCGCTGGTTGGTTGGATTCTCTTGAACAGTTGTCTGTGTTAAAGTGTTTAGTATTGACTAATACTAGCGCGGAATCAGTGCTGTTTGTTTGTGGTCACCGCCTTTACTGCAACCGACGTTAACCCTGACGCTGTTAAAATGACCTTTGACTAAGATGCGCTACTCTGCGGTGCGCATAGCTTAGGTATCGTTCTAGTTACCGGAATCCTAAATGTGCAAGTACTTTGTCTAATCTTCTATATTGCTTTCTTAGGGAGAATGCTCGAGCTCACCATCTGTTGCAGCCGTTCTCTAGTAACACAACCTCACAACGTTGAAATCCGAATGCCATTTGTCATCCATCGGCGTTCAGTTGCAGTTTCCTTTTAACTGGTATCCCTACTTAAGGTTGCTGCTTAGAATATCAAACCCGTGCCCAACGAATATTTCTTAATTCATCGAAGTCATCACATAGCGCTAGTACTCTGCGCCCGTCGCGCCGAGCCTATAGCCCTAACTTCATTCCCATGTTTATAAGTGTTGTAAGGGAACGCACATCGACCTCTCCTCAGTCTCCGATGAGAAAGATATTGAGATTATCAATCGGACCTATAATACTTGACCTATCTGGAATGAGCAGGTGTGAAGATTGTTCGTATGTTCTAACTCAGGCACTTCCATTGTTTTGTGGAGCCATTCATTCCCAACACCAGGCAATAGCCCATTTTCTTTACACTGCATATCAGCGACGTTACTTGCTGTTTTATTCCCGCGTTCCTCGGGGCCCGTGGTACACCTCTGGGAGGTAAGCTCGAGAGCTTAACACTAGTTCCTTCCGTTTGGAAGAGCCCACTTGTCCTGAGGCGGGTTTCTTGCAGCTCAGTCATAACTAGCAGTAACATCAGATGATGTCACCTAATAGTGGACTATTACTCTTTGATCCTCTTCTTTACATTGGGTTATTTTTGGAGTAACTATTCTACAAAGTAACCTTCACGATCGATGTTCTGTTTGGGCTTCTTGAGTTAGAGTGGGCGACTAATGCCTTTGCCATTGACCTGTTAGGCTCTATAGGCAATGTTTGTCACAGTGGTCAAGAACTACCGTTGAATTCGTGGAATACATGTGCTTGAACTTCCCCTTGTCATCTTAATCCGGCAACGATTTTTAGCCACCCATTAGACCTGGTAGCGTGGCTCTTGCCCTATCAGTACGCAGCTACTAGGCCACGGTTTCTCTCCGCGATCCTTAGCTGAATATGCTAAATAACGGTGAATCCAGCAGTGTTGTGTACTGTGAATAGCATTCAGTAAGTGTCTCTACTTTACATATCATACAACTGATTTGCTTACCTGAACCAAGTGAGTTTGTTGGGTGGTTTAAGACTAAATCGGATCCAACACACCTAGTGGGTACCCCGATATACCACAGTAATTTTTCTGGATAAAATCTAGGGTTGGCTGCACATTAGATAGCACGCGCAGCGCAAGGTCGTTTTCTATCTGGTATGTAGCCCCCCTATTCAGTCCATCCTTTTTTATTATCAACTTGCTGAACCCAACTGTCCCTCTGTCTTTTGCCTCATACTCAGCACTTGCCTTGGGCTCTCTTCTGAACCCGAAGTGCCGCAGTGGTTCTGTCCCAAATGCACTGAAAACCGGTCTTCCGGTGGGTTCGTTTCCACTGATTTCAGCACCTGTACGGTCCCCTCCCAACCAGTGCAGTCGTCTCGGCTTCCCTCAAAACCTGGAGTTGTTCCGCGTCGTGGTCGCAAACCTCGTGGTGCGTCTTTCTGCAAACATCTCATCGGTGCTTCTAAGTTGCCTGTACGTAGGACCAAATAACTTTGCTCTCTCAGACGCTTTTTTCTCTTGGCGTTTTTATTTGTAAATATGTTAATACATATACAAATTGTGCATTTTGTGATTATCGCAATTGCGCCGTGACTTTTCTTGACCCAACATGATCTGGAACTGGTTTGCTGATGGTTACTGCTGTAATTTTGAGTGAGTCAAAGGGAATATCCGCAATTCTCGACACAACGAGCTTGTATATAATATATTTCTCGATCGTGCAACAAACGGAATTTATATGGGATCGCATGCTTTTCGCACACCATATACGTTTTGAAGCCTCAAATGTGTTCCAGTATGCTACCACCTCCAAACAAAAATGCTTTAAATGAAGTAGTTTTCTTCTGTTCGACATCGTGGTTTTTTTTGAAGCCGGATTGTATGACTCATGTTCATGGGCAAACGTGGTTACGGAATTTCCGATTCACGGTCCCTACCCCAACCAATTACTAAATCCAATGACGAACTTGTTTTCCTTGCTTCCATGGCTCGCAACAACCGGTTAAAATGTGAAAACAACTGGAAAGTTGTCAATGCGTTAGCGTTTCGTAACTCTGGTCCATTATTTATAATGGATATGAGGTAACCTTGGTCGGTTTTGATCATACGTACGTTTCTGTTGTCATGCTGCTTGTTTCTGTACTACATGACTTGCATGTGAGAAACTATGCAAATTGAGCAAAATCGACTCCCTAAATTTTAAAGCGAATGATTCGCCATTTTTTACCGCATATCATTTAGTTTTTGGCAATTCACTTGACACATCACGTCAGCAATGAAACGATGGATTTATAACGGGTAAATGACCAAATGCTAAAACCACAAAGTTCATGTGGGTGGAAAACAATGCGTCACGGTGGAGTAACTGTAAGTTACACACGTGCAAACGGTTTGGTCACGTGGTGCCGTGTTCCAACATCTTTGGTTAGGCTATGCAATGCACGTGGAGCAATTAATCGTTAGGTTGAGTTTCGAAATCGTTTGACGTAAGGCCGAAAATACCGTCGAACCCGCTTTATTGCCCACCATCGGGATATCTCAAAAGTGGGAAGTAAATCGGGGTGGACAATTAACCGATATTACCATTTTTCTCAAACGGGACACAACGACAGAATATCACTTGAATTGTAACGTGCTGAGAAAGATAAAATACGTACTTTTTACTGAAGCCTGCAAAAGACGATTATTCGGAAGACCATGAACTATACTTTAAAACTTATAACATAACGCATCTTACCTGGATAGCTATAGAAACTGGCGCTACTGTATATTTTTGCTGACAGAGCAATCCAACTCAGTTGTACATTATTTCTTGCAGATGCCCCAGTCACTTTTGCTTTGATGAAGTCTAATTGAGATAAGCAATCGTGGCTTTGCCCATGAAAAAGTCCGTAGGTAAACAGACCATTCCCGCTGTTATTTGCTCTTGAATGCGACGCGCGCTGATCACTGTTGCTCACGGAGGCATCCGGCGTGGCATCCTCTGAGTTGCTGCCTTTTTTGTATTCTAGTCGGTTCTCTAAAACTTTACTGACGATTTCATCGTCAACAGTTGTCAAACCTGAGGTACATTCCACATTGTTGTCAATGGTGACCAACTCTTCTGCATTCATGACTGGAATTGTGCAAGCGCTGAGCTCGTCTTCAACGATGACGGCCTCATCAGAAAGTGTATCGGATTCTAGTCGAGTGAAGCCAGCATTCCGAAAGCACGGTTTTATTGTTGCACCGGTAACCTCTCTCCGAATTTTCGAAAGAAACTTGATTGTATTGCGCACAGAAATCTTGGCATTGACATCAATCGCTGATGATGTGCCAGATAACACGATTTTTTCGATAGGATAAAGAATTCGGTCCACAATTTCCTTTCTGTACCGGATTCTCAGATTCATAATCACACTTTTGTCCATGGTTTGAAGAATGCTGGCCGTGTTTGCCTGCAAAAATTCCATTTGAATGTCTCAGTCCTTCTACCTGTGGATGCGCTGTGCAATTATCCAAGAGCAACATAACTTTTCGGCCACATTGGCCTATCTCCTTGTCCCATTCGAGGACCCATTTCGGTGCAAAGTTCTTTCGACATCCACACCTTTTTGTTAGCTCTGTAAGTTACGGGAAGTGTAAGTACGTTCACCCCATTAAAACATCGTGTTTTCTTACTTTTTAAATCCATACTATATTTCTTTTATCCGTGTCAGACATATTCGTGCAGCACAGCAAAGTGATCCTATCCGTGGCTTTTTCGATCTGCCGGGCTTGTCGGCAGCAAAACACAAAGAGCATTCAGGAGTTGCTAGGTAGAAAAGACCTGTTTCGTCTACATTGTACACGTTGTCATCATAAAAAGCATTTAAAAGTTCAGGCAGTCGATCTTTCAGCCAATTTTCACAGACTGCTCTGTCCGCGGAACTCTTTTCGCCATGTGCACCTTTATACACAATTTGAGTTCTATTCTTCGCAACCGTTCTTCTGTGGCAGCGCAAGTTCTTCCAAGTCCTTTCCCGAATTCTTCCGCCTCTTTCTTCAGAAGCAGGCCTTTAATCGTTTGGTTGTGCTCACGAACCGAAAGTATCCAGTCTTTCACCGCATTTTCTTCTTCATCCTTTCCACATCGCTTCCTTTTCTGAGAGCTTGCAGTGCCATGTGACAAACTCTGCCGGAGTTCCTGTTCACTGGTAATCAACCTGACTAGGATAGGACGAGAAATATGTAAATCACGCGATATCTTGATCTGCAAGGTTACTAGTGGATACGTTTTAATTTGTCCCAAACGTCCAACTTTTCTGTCAAGGACAAATCCTTTTTGTAATTTAGCATACTTCTGTGTAACCAATAGAGTAGTGACAAATATGGAGCGGAAAGTTTACCCGACTTTGCTCATTTCTCGCGTTTTAAATAGGGCCAAGGGTTTGACAACAGCCGTCTGTACATTTAGCTTGGTCGTGTATTGGATAACATAGATAACCTTTTCTGATCTGTCAATAACGCCGCCGACCTCTTTGTTGTTCTTGTCTCAACTGGTTAACTGTGGGGTAATTTTCATAAAAGTGTCAAGGATAGGACATACAATTGACAAAACGACAAGAGAACAACCCACGCAGCTGGGCAAGTAAACGATGGGATGACCCCGGTAATGGGCAATTAGACGGTGAAAATGAGTCAGTTTATGAGAAAAGAATTTGTATTTTGAAACACAAGGCAAAAAAGCGAGGTGGGCTATAACCCGAGTGGCCAATAAAGCGGGTTAGACTGTAACAGAAATCGAGTGTTTAACGACTAGCACACACTGAGTGGAAACGTTCGGCAACGTTCCAAGTTGTACTGTGTTTCGAACTCCAACTGGTCAGTGGTACATGCGGATCAAAAGCCACGGCTTGACATGTCCCGCAACGATGCATCAGTTCAAATGACTTATGTACTGCTGTTGACAATGGTGATGATTAACATGTCCCGCAGGAGGATGCGTGTTTTTTCAAAGAACAGGAAAAGCAACCGAAAACAGTGAACATGCCGAGCAAATTTTGGTCCGTTTAAATCGTCCACACTTTGTTTTATGCAACTTGTATATTCCAGTAAAATGGGTGTGCGTTGCTTTGGTTTCCTTTTCTGAGTGTGCATACGCTTTATGCATGTTATGTGATGTAGTGTAACGCGACCCTCACATTGTCGATACGATGTTTGAACACAGGTAATGTAGTGGCTGAGATAACAGATTCCAGGTGCCAAATCCCTATGTGACACCAGCGTAGCGAGAAAAAATTCCGTCTGCACTCCACCCGGCATTATTGTCCTGCCAGTTTGAGACAGTGGTCTCTCACGTTTACGTAACCAACCACGATCTGTTCGTCGAAGTGTGACATACGTAATTGTATTGACTCGCCACCATCAAATCAAACTATAAGACAAGAGAAGTTAGAGAAAGAAAGAGGTCGATTAGAGTGACATAGTACATTAGGATCGCCGAATAGGCGTGAAATCAGGAGGCAAAAAGATATCAGCAGTACACCGGTACCGACGCTCTGCTGCCGCGCAACTACCAACAGTCGCGCGTCGGTTAAGGGTATCGCGAGGGCCGCCCGGTCCCCTAGACAGGGTCGAACCCGCGCCCTCGGATCACAAGGTACGCCCTGTGATATTACAGGCCACGGGCAAAATGTGAATTCGGAAGAGCGCAAATGCAAGACCGCAGTAACGGTGATTGTGCTATTTCCGGGAGGATTTCTAAGTGTAGATAGGTGAGGCCTCGATGCCTATATCTAGGCAGACGACACGAAATAACTCAAGTGCTGTTTCGATCGCGCTCTTCGTTATGCTTGTGATGGCCACCTTGAAGTTTCCTTAGCAGCTAGGCACAATGTTAGTGAACCATAAATTCTGGGAAAACAGGTCGATGGACGCGAGAGTATGACTCCGCGAACCCATAAATCATTATACAAGGTAGAGGTGGAAAACACCTCAGCTACTGTGCCGCAATACATAAAATAAAAAACCATACAACAGATGCATGCCAGCTGAGCTACCAGCAACAGGTGGGCATCTTTCCAGGAAGCTACCTGCCGTCTACTACGTAGCAAAAAAAACTTACTGAGCAGAAGTTTTATTATGCTGAGAAATGAGATCGTGTTTTGAGGGGAGGATAAGAGATTGGGGAAGGAGAAAGAAACTCACAGCACGAACCCCACTGATGTCGGCTCCTAGCTATGTCAGCAATTTTATCCATCAAACGTGTTCATCATCTTGCAGACCCCAACCAGGGAGCCTAGACGCTCCAACAAAGGCCAGCTTCGAAGTGAGGGCCTTCGTTCATCCCGACCAAGTCATCAAGTAGCCAGCTCTGCTTTTTGTCTATCCACGCTCCCGGTGCGCAAACAACGCGCGTCGCGGGAGACGGTGGGCTGGCAAGCATAACACGTGGTCGAGCCATCGGGACCTGGTGCGAACTCAGGGAAGAAGTTAAAGATTCGATTGTGCAGTTGGGAGCTGCTACTACACACCAACTGACATTATGCCTTGGGAGAAAACTGGATAAATGGTCAAAGGTAAGGAACGCGACAACGGAGTGTTGTCCATCACTAGGTGAGTAACACCACTCGGATCTGAGGGAGATACTGAAGGAGTAGAGCTAGCAGTTAACTGGCAACAGGCAAAAGTTTTCTGCGCCTAAAATAGGTACGTAGACTAGGTCCCTTCCCTACCATTACTGTTGATCGCCCCCGCGAAATGCAGTGCCATTAATACAAATAGTTGAATGACGCTTCATGGTAGCTAGCCGATGGTAGGTCAGGGTATAGAGACGGTGAATGTGAAACAGATTGGTTGATATGTACCGTC